ATATATTGTGAACATCCTAATAACGCTTTATCCTCCCTGTTTTGGTATTTGCACCAAGTAACCCTAAGAAGAATTACCCACAATTATAAATCAAAAGGCGTGGATTAGAAGCTTAACTTATAACTTTATTGATAAGCTCTTCAATATATTTTCTGCCAAATGAGCGGCAGTTTCACCAGTCAGCTACCTAAGCCTTTCATCTTTCATATATCCATTTAAGCGGACTGAGAATTTCAGCTCATTAGAAGTAATTTTATACACCAATATGAAACAATCTGTTTGCCGTGGATTTCATATTCATCACTCTGTACTTTTTCCCCTGTGTGGCAAAGGGATGGTTAATGTTAAAATAATTGATTTATAAATTCTGCCTGATTAGGTCTGGTTTTCTTAAGAAAAAAGGACGGTGTTAGCCATGGTTTGAAGGGCAACCAACGGGTCCTAGGTGCAGAGTAATTTTATGGGTGGACGATGGCGATTATCTGAGAAATTCTGTGCACTGTTGTTTTTTCGGGTCACCGCTACTTTCAACAAGTTTTAAGTTAGTTTTAAACATCTTAAAGATATGCTCTGCTTTAAATGCACCCTTTCTTGCAGATTTTTTTTCCATTTTAAAAGACCTGATTGTCGAAAAGATGTGCATTTTCCCCTATTTTTCGTTAAAATATATTCTTACGTGTAATTTTATGAATATTGTCAGCCCTCTCAAGAAAATCACAAAATAACATATATTCCAGGTTATGAGTTCAAGGTCCTTTTTTCATGGACATCATTATAAAATATCGCTATTTTTGTATCCATCTGAGGTTTACACTTATCACCGAGATCGAGTGCGAAATGATTGCTTTGTTATAGAGAATTCAAAGATTTAAATGAACAATTTCTAAAACGAGGCCAGTTATTGACAAACAAGTTGATGAAACAAGAACAACAGCAGTCTCATTCAAAGTCAACATTTCGTAAGTTCTATGGTTGATGCAATTACCACCACCTTGCAATTGTCAGCAAATACGAGTATCATTAAGTCAAATACTGATCATTGACGCTTTCCATACTAATTCAATGTTAGAGCATATTTAATTTACACACTGGATTGTCGACGGATTTTCCCGTTATTTCCCGATCATGACATGGAGCACACGGAGGGTGTGACCGGTCGGCAGGGGACGCACACTCCTCCATACCATATGATCCCACCTCTGATGTTTTAGAGGCCCGTGTTTGCTCTGCTTCAAAATTAGCATTTTTCAAAGGACTTTTTGTCTTGAATACTGTTCGTTATCTCCATCTATATGCATTTCATTGTAATCTCTAAGAATTAACGAATTATCTACAGCAAAACTTTGGGGTATACAGGAATCACCGTGCCCGTCTGTCCGTGCAATCATTTCTGGGCTATAAATCTGTAATGGAAAATAACATGTATTAGAAGAGCTTACTAGTAATTGATACATAGTTTATATACTGAAATACTGGTAAGTTCAATTTCACTGACAGAAAAAAAATATAAAATTCGTTTCTAATTTTCAGCTACCTTATGGAGGAACGTCGTTTGGATTGCTTATGAACTAAAGAGGTGACTTGACCAAAGCAGAGGTCATTTTGATAAGTTCAGGGTCATTTTTAAAAATATATTTCCTTTGGATGCTCGTACATGAAAATACTCATCACAAATATTCGAAATGACCTTCAGGTATGTTATTGACCTTGGCCAATGACAGAAAAAAATTTATTTGTCTTATATATTATTAGCCTTTTAATGGAGGCTAATTTGACGTCGATGGTTGATACTAGCTGCAGACCTGTAGCGTTATGGTTTTATATATTTGTCTTTAACCATATGGTCTTATATATTTGTCTTTGACCATAACTTTGTTGTAGTCAAATATATATAAAAACCAGAACGCTACAGATCTGCAGCTAGCTTGATACATGATTGCTTATGACTTTAGGGTTTATCATAGAATCTCAAAAAAAAAAAAAATCTGATCATACTTTAATATCAAATAGGTATGATGTTCACAAAACACCAGAAAGAAAATTTTAAAATACTAATACTGAAATTAATCAAATTATCCCTTAATATGGAATCATATAATATAGCCAATTTTTGTACTGCCAACTGCTGATGTTTGCCAACTATCAGCTGCTTCGACTGCGAACTGCCACACTTTGTTTGAATAAACTTTATATTTGTATTGATATTTTAAATGAATTTTCACAAAAAAGTTGGGAAAAAGAACAACAGCAGTCTCATTAAAGTCAACATTTTTTCCAAGTTCTTTGGTAAAATTGAATTGAATAAAATGACCAATATGTTTTATCTTATGTAATATTCAATATATGACGTTTTGATAAATTACAATGTTTAATTTTTTTACACAATTTGTTTTCCTATTTGAAATAGGTAATAAAATGCACTATTTTCTGCTTTTAATCTTCAGAGGATGCACACTCCCCTATACCACATGAGACAACAAAACCTTTGTTTTAGAGAGAATTGTAATAAAAAAATTTGTCATTTTTCAGAGACTTTTTGTTTTGAAAATAAATTTCGTTATCTTTTATCCATTATATTCTATAGTTAAAGATTTCCTCAAATTAAAGATGTATATCTCTGTGTGTTATAATGATTCACATGCATAGATCTGGGGGGGGGGGGCATTTAAAATTTGTACAGTCATACGTTTATATACTGAAATACCGGTATAGTTGACCTTTCACTGACAGAAAAAAAATATAAACATTTATATCCAATTTTTTGTACAAATAAAATATGTTTTACATGCATAGAACTAGAGAGAGGGGTGAACACTTGAAATTTGTAAAGTTATTTAATGTACATTTTTAAAAATATAGTTATTTAATGTATAAAAAAATCAACTAAAAGGGTCACATCACACCCTTCCCAACTGAAAATGCGGATTCGTGTTAAGTTGGTATGAAAAAAATATACACATGAAGGTAACATGACCATAAGAACCACCTCTCCGCGGATGAAATAAATTTTCACATTTAGGAAAGGACTTTATATTTTTTTCTTGTCAAGAAATTTCTGGTTTTATATATTTTTACAAATATATGACCCCAGAAAAAATGTCCTAGCTTGATACATGCGCCTTTTTTTTAATTTACATAAATATCAATATAAAAATAGAATTTATTAAAATATGTGTACAATATCAAATAAGCAGCTGACAGTTGGCAGTAAACAGTCAGCAGAAAATTTTAAAAGCAATGGCTGAAATTAATGGCATTATACCTTAATACAAATATAGATATTTTTTTGCTCTTAATTTTGAGATTCTTTCCTAGCGTACATAACACTGAGTATAAAAAAAAAATGTGCATATATTCATATTGTTTAAGGACCCTCTATATAATATACCAATGAAAACTGTTGAGGAAATTATATTTTGTAAAAATCGAGCTTATCGTTTTAATTTTCAACAATAGGTACCTGTCATTTATCCCGGGAAAAATATATTATTAAGATAAATTGAAATCACTGCCGCTTACTTTAATTGAGAAAATTACATGCAAAAAGACTTTAATTAATTCATGCAGGCCAGATGTTTGGAATGCTTAAATGAAAAAAAGATTAATAAATTAAACTTTAAATTAATTTATTGCATTTCAGACTCAAAGGCAGTGCAGTGTAATTGTATAGAGCGTTCTTAAAGCTGTAGCAACATTTTAATTAATAGATTTTAAGATAAGAAATATGTCTTCTCTCTAGATCTTGTCTTGTCCTTTCTAAGATTTTCAAAATCAGTTGAACATCAGAGATAACAATTAGACCATAATTTATACAAATTATCTATTTTTTCTATCGTTGGAAATAAAAGCTATGGATACATATACGATTTTGTCAACATCACACTAAGAGAGATAACTTAGATTGGTCTCCAAAGCAGGGGAGGGGGTAGAGAAAAATTATATATTAATCGATGGAATACTGCATGCATATTTTTAAATTAATTGATTAATCTAGTTATTTATTTATTCATCTATTCATTCATTCATTTACTACGTCTTGTTATTTGTATTTTATTTCGTAGTCTAGAAGGCTACGAAAGATAACCCTGATGTAATGTTACATGTATTGAATACACAATGATAAATACAAAAATCTCTCTTTAGTATTTGTAGGATAAATAGCTGTACTAATTTAATCTGTTTTTTAAAATCAAATGAGATATATTTATTTCTAAGTTCTTCATATCGAGGACATTTTAATACAAAATGGCCCTGTTTGACATACATAAAATTTTATTTTTATATCTGCACAATTGTGTACATTCTTTTGTGAACTTATATAAAAGTAATGGTAAATTAAAATTAAGATGTAAAATTTTATTTTTATATCTGCACAATTGTGTACATTCTTTTGTGAACTTATATGAAGTAATGGTAAATTAAAATTAAGATGTTTGATTTCTGCATTATGCATTTTTTTTTTTTTACATGAAATGCGGTATAATTATTAATTAAACATTGAATTTTTTACAATCCTTGAACTTTGGAAAATAACCTACAATCCTGCTAAATCGTCTTCTACACTATGAGAAAAAGGCCAATAAGTTTTCAACATTTACAACGGCAAAAAAAAAGAAAAAAAAAAAAAAAAAAGAAAAAAAAAAAGACAAATTCTAGCTTCGCATTTTTATTCAGTTCGTGAGCAAAAAGGCTTAAGATAACACATTGATAAATTCTGGGGAAAAAAAGAACATTTAATCCTATAATATTTTTTTAACCCATAGGCGTAATATACTTTTTATTCACTATGGGTAATAAAAATTATTACGGAATCAAGTACCTGTCGAATAATTAAGAGTTCTTTTTATTTTAGAAATTTACTTTTAACGTTTGATTCAGTTTTTTTTTTTTTTTTTTACCCTAAACGTGATTATAAACTTGGTCTTTGATACGAGAAGCCGCGCAGTTTGATCGATTTCTTTCTTCGCGGAATTTTTATTTCCATTCGGAACGCCTTCGGGTTTTTCAGATAGAAAATAGTAAAACCGAAACCGGAATGTCGATGGTCGGAAAATGTTCATAGAGATGGCTTGAGAGTTGTCCTTCGCAATAAACGAGTTAATTCACCGGTTTCTTTTCTGAAATGGAATTATAAGGAAGCAGAGAGCAACTATAATGGCTTCAGATAATCGTAACAACCAAGACAAAGTCAAATTACGAGAGGGTGAGTAAAATATTGCAATTTATTATTTTTCATATCGATCGATAGAAGAAAAATCTCCCTTTGTCTGGCTTTTGTATGACTCATCGGGGTATTTTCGTTTTGGACAAGACTTTTTTATCGGGGTTCAACAATAATTGATCCATAGGCCCTCTTGAATTTTTTGAACAAGGGATTTCAACTTTGGGTCCCCGATCCCGGGTAGAAGGTCATCGGACCGTGTCTATTTTGTCTGGACAGGAAGTAGAGCTCAGCTGTGTTGACAGTTATATTTTTATGGGTCGTGAAGTGCGGTGTCTCATAGGGTTTCATGTAGTGTATTTAGTGGGCGATTATTTTGTTTGCAAAACACAACTAACAGAGTGGTTCTACAAGCACAAAAATAACAACATGCTGTACCAAGTGACTTGTTCACTCTTGTGTAAGGAGATGCATGTTTTGATCACTACTTTGAAAGATATGAAATGCGTGTGTTGATAAGTTTAATTCCAAAATTACCAAATACAAACCTCATAGACTTTGTAAATAAATTGTTGAGTCCTTCAAAATGTAATGGATGCCCATAAACCAGGAAATGTCTTATGAATGAATAAATCCTGCTTATGACCACAATAAGGATGTTAATGGAATAATATAGAAGTGACAGGAAACCCAGACATGTAATATTCTACTAGTGCATGATTATAAATACTTAGTACATGTAGTAGTAATTGAACGTAAACACTTTAACAGCTGTTTGAATATCAATACTAGAGTGTCATCAATGATCAATTTGTATTGTCTGCATGAACTTTGTATGCAGACATGGAATTTCAACATAAAGGTACATTTAGTAAGGCACATGTCCTCACTTTTGTATATCAGTTGTAATATTTGAAATACAGTCAAATCAACCTCTTTTTATTCACCTTGAATTTGATGAAGTTAATCTCCTGTAATCAGTATTTATTAATTTGTTTTTTAAAAAATACCAAAAAAATGTGAAAATAAGAATGATGTGAGAAAAATTTGTATGTGTTGGATTGCAGACATCTTAGAATGCATGACCTTAGCTCAAAATCGCATGTAAACTGTACATATATACGTCAGTATAGATTAATTTCTGTCCATGCTTGAACATATGTTTAGTTAGAGAAGACCCTATGCACAACTCAGACTGCACAGAATACATTTCCATTGGAGCAATAATGCTCACACAATTGTGTTAGTGACTATGGTGACCCTATCAGATGTGTACAGTTATGTTATAAATTATATATTACAAATTTATCAATAATTTGGACTATCTATAGGTTAGGAGTGTTGTTGACATGCTCTGTATTTATATATTTGCATCACACCTAAATGTCATACAGTACATGATGTGTGCTGTATGATATTTGCATCAGGGTCAGAGACTCATATTATAAGTCGTAGAGTAATTAAAGTCAGAGAAATTTCATTGAGTTTATTGGTACTTGTGTTAGTTAGATTAAGACTAGAAGTCTACCTTTTTGCTAGCAGTACATGTACTTATAAATACATGTATCCACATTATTTATAAATATGCATGGCCTCGCACAATGACATGTATCAGTAATCCGCCTTTGCATATTTTATTGAGTAGAGCATATAGGAGCTTGAAAAATGTTTAGTGATGCATATTTAGAGGCTAGCAGGAGCTGTCACATCTGCATTTCTCAATTTTTGCTATTCATACTTAGGTTTACTTAGGAAAATGTACATGATGTACCTGATCTGGTTGTTTTCTGTACATATTTGAACATATCTATATTATATACCAGTACTATGTACATGTCTGCAGAATTGTGCTGAATGAATATATAAAGGAAGGCAATTAGGTAATAAACTTGTATTGAAAGAGGGATCAGAGAAGGTCTTATCAACAGGAAAATTTCCTCAGAGACCTAAATGAGAAAAAAAACCTTATTATGCTGAAGCACTCATTCAAAAAGCTTAGATGTCAAATTTGACCCATTGATAATGAATTATACTGTACAGATCACTCAGTATTGCAGACCAGTGACACGCAGTCCAGGCTTTCACAGACTATTTCATCCACCATTTGTTCTTAATAGAAATTTATGACAGTTTATCTTCTGATAAAATCAATATTCTTTTCAAGTGAATATGGCAAGGCAAAAGTACATTTACAACTATACAAGTGTAAAAGCCTAATGGCTTGGGATGTCTGTAGAATATATCATAGATGTGTGATCTACCATAAATCTTTCACAGTTAAGAAGGTGTTGTTTACCACAGATAATAAAATTAGTATATAGCAACTATATGTCTGTATAGTTCTATATGTCTTATACTAGGATACAGGAAAGAACTTCAGCTAGCATTCTGGTAATACCGGTAAATATGATTTTTCAGCTAGGTTATATTTTTTTAATTTTTTAATAAACAGCAACAATTATTTTTCCCAAATTGATTCCTCAGACTGAAAAAAATACATACCAGGGTAATTATATTCTTGGACCATTTATCACTGTATGACTGAGAAATGCATCTTGTACATTGTAGTATACACTGATGAAGTCGCTACATAACGTTTCTGTATGTACTGCATAAATAAGTTATTGTTATGATCTGTACATTGTATTAAAAATGTTATATTTGGCAATCAATATTTCTTGCTTTTATAGAAGTTTGCATGCATATTTTCTGCATGTTATGCTTGCATAGCTTTTGGCTGCCATTTTTACTGAGATGTGATTTTAAGCTTTCCTTCTAACTATCTTAAAAATACTCTGAGTGAATAAAACTTAAGATTCTGAATCTTTCTTTTTCAGGAAAGGAGAAACGACAAATTAGTAAGCTGAAGAAGTTAAAGAGGAGAATTTCTGCCAGCTTTGGTCGACTATGTAAGTGCACAGTTGTCATTTACTACAAAGGAATTTGTCCACATTCATTTTCATAAAGCATCTAATCTGCTAATGCATTGAGATCGGCAAAATACATTTGAGAGTTGTAAGTCTCAGGGGATTAAAGTAGAGAAAAAGCAATTAAAATGGCTACCCTTTAGTTTAGATTTATGCATACCCCATATACATTAAATGAAACAGTCAAAATGTCCCATCTGAAATAGCTTTGAAATTTCTTACACCAAGTACCAGTACATGTACTTGTTTTGTACCTCAATAACAGTACTTGCATTTGTTTCACTTAATTACCAAATATCTTATTTACTAGTAATTCCCTAAGAAAGGTGTCCTGAAAATTTGAGGATTTAGAGTATTTTATCATGACTTTCATACTAGATAGTAAGTTAAACTGAATCTTAGAGAAATGAAAACATCGAGAGTTTCATATGTACACTAGTTGTTTCACTTAATGCCTTCTGCTGTTGATAAACATTCATATGAACCACTAAACATTTATATCTACCATTAAATTCAGCTGCCAAAATATCTTGTTTACTTCTACTAAACGTAAATTATAAATTGACGTAAAAAATTGGATGCTGCAGCTGTTTTAATGGGATTCAGTGGTCCATTTATATTGACATTTTAAAGTTGAATCCATATAAATTAATGAAGAAAGTCGGGCTTTAATAGTAGTCAATTTTATCTTTAAACTGTTTCGGAAATGAAACGGCTTGTAAATCATAATTCATTACTACAAGAACATGCACATGAAGATTATATAAGGCACTTGAGTCTGACACTTAAAACTTTGAGGGAGCTAGACTGCATGTTTTAGAAATAAAGAGCTTCCAAATGGTTTTCATCCCAGCAAGAGTTGCTGCAATTTCAAGCATGTTGTAAAAGTCTTAGCATTAGGAATAATTTGCTAAGCATTTGAAATAATTCAAATATTGAAGTGAAATATTTCAGATATTGTTTGATTCTTGATAGACCAGTATATGATTTAGAGTAACTCAAAGTGGATAGGAATCAAATACACGTGTACCTTCAGACTTCAGTTCGACAAGTTGATAGTTCAAAGTCAAGGAAGAACTTTTGATTTGATTATAAACATTTAATGAGTGATGATGATGCTGTAAGACATGCTAAACACAGCATGCCTGTAACCTGGTTATCTGTAGACATGTACATGGTGCATGTTTGTTCCTCTCAGCTGTTTCCTAAGCTGGTCTAGTTAGTATTTCCAAGAAACACAAATAACATATTAATTCTGGATCATCTGTTATTTTCTTGGAGCTAATAGAATGATGCCAGCTAGAAAACAAAACAAATATTTTTCAGCTTCAACATGTATATATACATGTGCATGCAGACATTCATGTAACCCAAAAAATTGTAGACCTGAAAGAATTTTATATTTTTTGTTTTTTATTTGTTTGCTTATTTGTTTTTTTGTTTTGTTTATTTTGGATGTGTATAACAATAGAATCCAAAGCTTTTGGCAAATATGTACATTTATTATCTTGGAAAAGGGAATTCTGTATGTCTTGTTCAGGAAAATTTTAAGATAAGTCATTGTATAATTGCAGTGGACAATTTCAGATACACATATCGCCAAAAAAATAGTTGCATGTACTTGACATGACGTATTACAATTTATTAGCTAACAGAAGCAGTGCAGGTTTCCAATAAGTACATGAGTTGCAGCATTGTGACACACACTTTGCCTCATTGCAAAAGGAATTCCATGACTACACTATGACCTGAATGATATTATTATTGTTCAGTGTGCCAAAAACACACATGGTTCTTGTAGAACCACTGAAATTGGGATTTATAAGAAAAGTCAGAGTGCATGTTTGTATAACTTGTGTTAGCAGCTGTTTTTGTTTGATAACCAAAGCATATTTCTCGTAATAAAAAAATCAAGACATGTGTGTCATATAAGCAGAAGTAATAGTGTTCAGTTAGGCATTTTTCTTATATGTGAGTAGTTTTTTGCCAGCAACTGCTGAGATTGAACATGTTAGTCAGAATGACATGTAAAATATGACCAATTTCTACCACTTGCGCATAAAAAGGAGGAATTGTACATAAAGTGAAATTGCTATTGGGAATGGTTGCATTATATTATACAGGCAGAGGAGAAAAGAATAAAAATATCATCTGCTTGATTGATTAAGTCAGTCATAATTTGCCAGATAAGAAATTTTCTAAATTTCCATGTAATGAAAAAGTTCAGAAGTTCTTCTTTGCATGGTTTTTGATTTTATCAAAAGTGAATAAAAACATTGGACAGTTTTGTTTCAAGAAAAGACTCATTCTTAACAGCTGGTATAGAAAGTACATGTAAAAGAAGTAAAGGAATTAAAGGCATCTATAGCAGTCAGTATATAGTTGAAACCACCATTATCATATTTTGGTCAAGTACATTCATTGCATATGAATAATGATTAATGATCAGAATTGGAAGGAAGCCATACAAATACAAATCTTCTGAATTTTTGGTCCAAAACAAGACTAGGAGGTTAGAAATTCATGAAATTGTGATTACTGTTTGTTTCAGTAATGAATGTATCAGCCGTAACCTTATTTCCTAAAGCCTCACTTCCAATCTAAGAAAACAAGGTTGATTATGTATAAAGAACTGAAATAGAACAAGTTTTTGAATGACCTGAAAGTGAAAAAATTGGTTCATTTTTTTTCTCCTAATGTTGGCAACTCATCACCTCATTATAGAGAAAACTTTTTCATGTAAATTGTCTTATTTTTGGTTCCAACCATCAATTCAGTCAAGAAAATAAGTTTGAGTGGCATGTCTTTAGCAGATAAGGAATTTTCATTACAGTTGCTGAAAGCAGTTGGTTGCCCATTCTCCTTCAGAGAACCTTGGTTGGTATATTGATGTTCAAAGTGTCTTTTGTTGCAGTCCATCATTCAGTGAAATAAGATACAGACTGACAAGTTAAGATTCTGCTGGGCATTGATTTTTATGCAAGGCCAAAAATCCCTGCACATTATGTCTCGTCATTTTATAGTTTTTCAAACAAGGAAGTCGTTTGCTATATCACGGATTTCATAGACATCCAAATTACTTAAGGGAGAATTTAATCTCTATGCCATTTCGAATTTGCACTAATAGTGAAATCTGAGAAATTATGTTTATAGCAAAATATTACCAATATTGCAAGAAGCTCAACAGAGAAATATCTCTATATGATCTGACATTTTCATTTACTTGCTGTATATACACATGTATACCCATGCAAGATTGCTATATGCCTATAGGTTAAGTACATTGTACTTTTGGTCAAATACATTGCAGTGAAATGATTTTTTTCTGTAACTGGCCATATTGTTGCAACACATCATAGATGTTTTGCATACAACCTTGGTTTTGCATCTTCCAATTCGACTGTCAGTTGTTGATTGCCATCACTTGAGCAAGAAACTGAACTTCCACATGCATGTTATTATACTACATGTATAGCAACTTAATTTCTGCACTTTTGCCAATTTTATATTTATTGGAATCACATTTTTAGGAAAAAATTTCTAGCAATATGATTCTCTGGTATAATTGGTTAATTAATTCCGAAAGCATGATGAACTTACTGCAGAAATATATTTTTATTATCCAACATTTTTATGATTTTGCTTAGTGTCATATTATATTTGTAACATATATGAGAGGGCTCTTGAAAACTGTAGTTAAAATAGATATGTCAAAATATATCTCTTAAAGTTATAGAACAAAATTCAATTGCTAAATAACTAAATATTTTGTAGTGATCCAGGCATGATTTGAATGGCTTTATGACACTCAATCCCTTATTCTTGAAAATAGATGTATTTTAATGGGCTATTTTTTGTTTGGCCTAAAATATTATATGTGTGCAATCATAAAAGGTACATGTACATATTTTTAGAATGGCCTTAGCATCTTTAAAAACAAGATGTGCTTGTGAAACACTGATGTCTCCATATCCATCTGGCAGCTGACATGCCAAAAGTTAATGTTCAGACTTCCCAAATCATGGTCAAGAGATATAAAAATAATGGTTTCCAAAAAGAGTGTTGTCACAAGGAAAACACATGTGAAATAAGCAAGCCCTAGCACCAGTGTCAACTGTTCAAAAGTTGTGACCAAGGTTAAAGAAGTTAAGCTCAAATGTCAAGGTCAAAGAGTCGAAAAGCAATGGTGCCCAAGGGAAGGTTCAGTCACAAAGAATTTTGAATTTCATTCAAAAGGTACCTGGCTAAAGTTAAAGTATTTCAAAAATAGATTGAACTCCAAAGTCAAGACCAATAGTTAAAAAAATATTTAAACCCATGCAGGTTAATTTAAGATCTAATCACAGAAAATATACTTGAGAAGTCTGAAAGGCCTAGCATCAATTGTTCAAAAGTTATATTGGCCTAAATTAATGTTAGGTAAAATTTTGCAAAAGTGTGTCTAATTACAAGGTCAAGGTCAAAGGGGTAAAATATTTTGGTACGGGGCGTAGTACCCAGAGAAAGGTTGCAAGGAATGTACTTGTGGAATATGAAAGCCCTACCAATCAAAATATATGGGCAAGGTTAAAGATTTTGCAGACAGACTGGCTGATAAACATGCAGGGCAATATTACTTTATGCCCCAGAATCTTCCATTAATTATGGGGGCATAAAAATTATTCACATAAAAAATAAATTTTCTCTGTAAGTTGAATAAATTGCTACACTGTAGTCATAAACTCACAATATTAAACGTATTAGACCGAGTTTACACACACTGGAATGCTAAAATATTGCATCCTAGAAGCTGATAATAGTCTTCATAAATTTTCTTATTCCAACATTTCAAAAACTATTGATGTTCTAAGCTTTTGCTTGCCAGTCCATTTTTGTGTTTGGAACCAACAATTTATTAAAGGAACAGCAGAGAAGAAGGAGGGCCTCTATACATTAACTGGTAAATTAGTATAGAATAAATGTCTTCAGCAAGAAATCTATGACAGCTGCAGGGAGCTTTGTTTTTAGAAATGTTTTTGTAACATTTGGTTGCCACAGTACATATATGCAACAGAGAGGTTTGAATTGCTTACATTTTTTAAGGATTGTTAGCTGCTTGCAAAATTGTGAGAGTGGAGGTTATACATTAGTTATTGGAACTTTTATAATACAATACCTGTCTGCAATTTCATGTTAGTTTTATAAAACTGTCTAGACTGAAATTGTTTTATATGAATTCAAGGATCAAGTGATATTTTCCATTCACTTTAATGTAGTACATATGCAAAGAAACATGGCAAAACAGGGCCTGAATTGTATAATTACACAGATCATTAGATTCAGTGTTTTCATTCTTTTGGTTTCAACATTTACAAGGTCAAAAAGTTGACTTGCCAGGCTGGTTAAGGTATGCATATGACATCATCCTGTACTTTATGAAGGGTCATAATTAATTAAGGACAGTCACAATATTGATTGATCAGTTATGTACCTTCTTGAGCAGAAGAGCTTTATATATATTTTTTTATAAATCTGATAGTCTCTTGTCAACTGTACACAGCAGATGTGGATTTTTTAAATAGTCATATTGATTAATCTATTAAATAAATTTACTTAATGAAAGTTAATCTTGTGTAAATACCTTCTTTAATAAAGGTCAAGTATAGATTATGGAACACATGAAAGTTGTGCTATATGTTTTACAGAAATGTTTTACAAAAAAGACCGCAAGTCAAATATATTGTAGTTATAATCACTTTTAATCTCACACAGCATGGGTTTTTCACAACATGGGTAACTTGCACCAAATATGCATAGTGCAAATATGCTATAAATTATATAAGATTAAAAGAATAAGTATATGTTTTTGAAAGCTAGTGAACATTAAAGTGTTATACAATGTACATGTTAGAATGAAGAATAACCAAATTATGCTAGCTCTTACATCTCAAAATTATCTATATTGTCAACAGTTGTGAGTTTCTAAATTAGTCAGCATCTTTGCTTATCATTTTAAAGCAAATTATATTTACACTCTTGTAATTTTAATGACCTCCAACAATACATATATTGTTCAAAAAACTTGAGTAATCTTCAAGAAGAAGAGATATTTTTTCCCTCTGACAGCTGTCAAGGTAACTTTTAGAGCAGCCAAATCTGACATTTCCAATGGCTTTCTCTAGTCTCAAGAGGGCTGAGCCAGAATCGGGAGCCGTGAGTGTAAAGGGGAGCTGGAACTTGTTCTTCCTCATCTGGAAACTATAATAGAACTCTCAAAAAAAAAATTCACTGTTGATTTCACTGATTTTCCCTCTCTGTTGTTTTTCAGCTATTTCCAAAGAGGATACAATACACGAAAGTGATCAAGAGGTAAGTTGCTGCTTAAAGTTTCTTGTTATATTTAATTGTAAGTTCTTTTTAATTAAGTAGTTTTCTTTAAAAATGTAAAGAAATTCATGAAATGTATTAAAACCTGAAAAAAAAAGTTATTAACCGCCATCTGTAAGCAGAGTGCTTGACACAATTATCATGATTTTAAAAATTCCTGATATAATTTAATTTCATATTTTAATTAAGAATTCTTAAGTCTAAGCAGTTTCCCAATATATTTATACTGGAAAACTGCATTGCAATACATTATTTTTTGTTAACAAATTGCAATATGCTGAATTATTATATGATTGAATAATTTCCATCTCTCTGATTGGTTGAGATCCAACTATGTTAGAAAAATAATACGTTGTATTGACCTGCACGTGACATTCCAGGTCAATACAAGGATTTATTTCCTCTACATTGATTTAAAAATAGATTGGGGAATTCCAAATTGATACAAACTGTTTTGGAAAACTATTTAAACGACTATGATTTTTTTTTCATGTGAACAAAACATAAGCGAATATATATTTAAGGGTGAGAGGGTGGTAAGAGGGGATGCAGGGAACCCCCTCCAAGGCTCCAACACTTTTACTGAAAACATTTTTTTTTTACTTTTTGGCAGTCGATTTTCCCTGATGATGCTCCTTCCTTTCAAAATCTTTCCTATAAATTTTTTTTTCATGGCAACTAAAATTGATGAAAAAAAACATTTCAAATGATACGACTGGTAAGGTTTATTCACATTTTAATTCTGCTTCTCTCTTGTATTTGGCTAGGACTTAATTAAATTCAAACAAGTAATTAGCTTTATCATTTTATCAGTGAATCATATAATAAAACAATTATTGCTGTTTTTTCGGTCAATACAATGATTTAGCCATCTTCGAAGTACAATATTCACCTCGCCCTTCGGGCTCGGTGAATATTGTACTCCTCAGATGGCTAAATCATTGTATTGACCTCAAAAAACAGCAATAATTGTATAATATTGATATTATTCTTCAGCCCTATTTATTTTACATGGAAGTGAAAACCATGCATGATTTCTATAAGGAAGTTGTACAATTTATTGATGTATGATTGCCAGCAAGACTTAAAAGAAGGATGAATTGTTACAGACTTTATCTTTGATTGTATTTCTGCTCAATTAGCATTGTTGAATACATGTATGAGAATTTTTCTTCTTCTGCAAATGGACAAATAGTATACCATTCAGAGATAGTGATATAATTGCATCATTATTTTCCCATTTATTACTGGGGTACTTGTATGTCCATTATATTTTAGCACTAATTTGTCTGTATGTTAAGGTTTCATACTTAAATTAATGTTTCCAGCAATTTTAGGGTTAAAAATCCTCAGCCATAAATCATGGAAGCCATCACATTATTTCAAATTGGCAATACATGTTTTTTCACCATAGTGTTAGCCGATTTGCTTTAACTGGCGAGATGGATGGTGGCTGCCAATTAAGGAACTCCACTGGCTTCATACATCAATATCTTTTGAAATCCTGTCACAGAAATCATGGGCTACCAGAAACATTTCAGATATTCTATACATTTAATTCAATCAATTGGATACATAGCTCTCCTTCCTCCTATGATGGATCATTGGGTTCAAGGATCCGTCAATCTATTTATTGGCGGTGATATATGTAATTGAACCCACAACATTAGGCAAAAAACACTTTTATACAGGAAATTAATGGTTGTTCTCTGTTCTTTTTTATCTTTTATTAGTCTGATCCAGGATTTCAAGGAACAAACGGTTATTCAGTCTTTGAGAATTCCACATCCCCACCAAACCTAGCTCTACAGAGGTGCAGCTACAAAGATGACTACATGGGTCCTAACAGCATCACACACCCCGCCAACAGACACCCTGACGGATACCACACGCTAGGTCGGCCTGCGGTGGTTCCTCGTAGTTCCAGTAGGTCAATTATATAAAGTTTTCTAGAAATACAACAGCATTTTTAAAAATGAAAAGACTACAAACTAGCTTGCAAGGTTTTTTTTCCATTTTCTTCATGTAAGTAAGATAAAAGTATAGACATAATATGTGCCCTTGACCTTATATTGATGCAAGTAAAAGGTCATACAGAATGTTTCACTTTGGTTTGGTTGTACGAGGGGCATTTCAAAAGTCCTGAGAACTGTATAATAAAAAATTAACCGTTTTACGGAAATTATTGAGTTTGATATCATTGGAAAGATCAGAAAAATATACACATATTGTGACGTCATTTTATAATTTTTATGACGTAATAACTCCGAAAATGACGTCATACTTCCGCATGCTTACAATACTGTGCATAAAAATGACGTAACAAAAGACACAATTTCATCAATGTAAAATTTTAAAAATAACTTTTGCTCATTACTCTGGCGCAAGCTATCGGACGCAAATGTCAGTTGGTAGAATCTTTACATAGACTACAATCTATCATATGGTGGTCTATTTTGGAGATCTTCTTGTTCTGAAATGGTTTAAGCGATTGTCAAACATAGCATGTTTTTATCGAATCTTGCTAAAAATATTGCGTAAAACAGACCTAACTGTGAGAATAAGGCAAAGTTGGCAATCAAAGAAGAATAGACGATCATGTTACAAAATTTGATGGCATCAATTCGTCAGGTGTTTTAACCAGATTTGTGGGATTGTTGAAGGCTCAAGAGAAGTTAAGGTTAGTGTGCCCCAAATTTTCTCTTAAAATCCAAAATGGCGCGGGCGCAGGTCTAACTGCCCCACCGTACCTCTACATATTCGCAAAAATTAATTCATGGAAATTAGATAAGATTCTACATGTCTGTGTAACTTACAAACCTTTTTTGGAGTCAAAAGTTAAAACCAGTAGCGCGTTTTGGGGCGCCGAAGTTGAATTAATAAGAAAAACTACGCACAGAAACAAGTCAGGGGCAAGACTTTTGTACATTTTATTTGTAAACGGTAAGAGTACTGTAACTCAAAATATATTTGTTGAAAACTGCATTAATATAGTTCAGTTTTATGCTGAAAATGTTTTATTTCATACAATGGAGAACTATATAAAAGACCGAAAATCCTTTCGTATCATGTAAATTAAAATCTTGAATGAATGTCGATGATAGCAGAACCGGACAAAATCCATGCTAGTAAACAAACCAAACAATGAAATATAGAATTTTTGAGAAGCAGTACCTTAGTCCTACTCTACTTCTTTGCAAATAAAAATTTTCATTGAAATATTTTTTCAAATAAGCCTTTGGCAGCACTTTTAAAATCGTGCCATGTGGATAAAAACGCGAATTTTCAGTATGCTAAACATTCTATATTGTGACGTCATTTTCGGAGTTATTACGTCATAATAATTACAAAGTGACGTCACAATATGTGTATATTTTTCTGATCTTTCCAATGATATCAAACTCAATAATTTTGGTAAAAAGTTATTAAACAGTTCTCAGAACTTTTGAAATGCACCTCGTATGTTAATAGGTTAAGGCCTTTATTAATCCAATTAATACAGGAAAGCATGTATATAGTAGCTCAGGAAAAAAGTCAAAATGAACTGTCAGTTGATTTATTTTAATGATAAAATATTAACTTGCCACAACTATAATAATGGATATTCTCAGCCTATTTTGCTCTAATATGGTCCTCTAATGTTTTGCTGTTATATGCATACAGTCCTGATATTGACATATTGTTAGCATGAAAATAAAATTGATCTACAAAATCTATCACAAGCAAAGAAAAAAAGATAAGAACTAGGTGACGTAATGACAGTAAACTTTATGTCTTTGAGACATTGATTTATAAGACATCTTTAAGTTGGTCCTATTGTACAACAGAATAAGTTATAGTCGGTGATTCACTGTGACTTCATTATGAGGGATTTAGCTGGCAAAGAATGGAGAGCTCTGGTAAAAAAAGATTTAATTGGAGACTGCCTTAGATGATTCACTAATATACCTGTCTATAAGGATCCTTAGCTAGCTTTTATTATGTTAAGGTAACTTCTCAAATGGATGTTATTACATTCTCATGAAATAAGAATTTATGTTGCTCCCTGGGGTCCCATATTGGAACTTTGTAAGGTCATTGCCCACACATGAAGAGCACTTGAAGATTTTTACTGTCTGCAGTGTTAATTTTTCTAGTTCATTTTAAATAAGTATGCATAGGAAACTCCCAATTCCCTTGTCTGCCCTCTCCTTTAAAAATGTTTTCCCTATTCAGTGTTTTTGGGCATTTAGATAATTGCATTTTAAGCTTATTCAATATTGAAGAAACCCACACAATGTATATGAAGGCCTTTTTGTAACTCAGTTAATTATAGTTGAGACAGTATTGCCACAAAGTCAGCAGTTTCAGGGAAGTGATTATTATGTAATAGGCAGTGAACACCATCGCATGAATTTTTCATCTTCATTTGTGTTGTATGGCCTTTATGGCTGTATGATAATTATGATCCCAGGTCTCTGATCAGAGGGGGGTTAAGTCGACATAATTAGAGAGCCAGTCTCTCTCTGTATTTAAAGTAAGGCTGTGGGGGTATTGATGAAAGCTTAGTGCTCTAAGGAGGGTGAAATCAGAGGGATTATTACATATAAGTGGCTCTGTTACAATAACTGATACGAATTTGTGTCCCATTCTCAAATGTCTTACTACAGACTAGCAAGAGTTGTCCACCTTTCCAGTGATGGTCTTGCATGAAATTTCCATGCAAAAATTTACCATTAACATGGCAAAGTTGAAAAAATGCAATAAAAATGCAAATTTATTTAAGCTTATGATCAAGATAATTTTTGGTAATTCATAGTTAATTCAAATGTAAAGGAAATCCCTTATGGACTAGGTCAGAGAGAAAATCGTAATATCTAAAGATCCTCATGCCCCCCCCCCCCTTTTTTTTTATACTTGTACATATTACAAAAAATTAAAAGCCTTGAACTCAGCAGAAATGAACATTTTTTTTAAAACGTCTAAAGGATCAAGTCATCAGAGCCAAGGTTCAGAATTCTAACTATGCCGTTGGGACTTAGGACCTCATAGACTCAGTTTGACATTAGTGCTTTTGAAAGATATACACCAAATTTCAACAGTTGTTTTAACTATATAGTACCTTTGTGCACTGTATAAGCTGTTAAACAATCTGTACATTTCTTTGTTCCTTTTCTTACAAGTTATAACTGCAACTCAGCAAAACTCCAGATGTTGCATAGTAAATTTAGTGAATCATTGCATTTATGAAGTTTTTGCAAATTGTTTCCTGGGCAGAGTAAATGCATCTGTGAAAATGTGGAAACACAATTTGTCTGGAATTATCATCTGGATTTCATTATTATAAAACTTATCAGATTTTCATGCCGAGTGTATGAGAATATTTAATTTTTTGAGTGTAAATTAATGGAAATTGATTCAGACCATAATTTCTTAAGATATCGATTCGTAAAGCTCAATTAAGTATAATACCCTAGGAATGAGATAAATTCTTGTAAATTACATTTATTTTCCATTTTTCTTCTTAAATGTATTTTTTACTAATTATTAATTTCCAGCTCATACATAATCTTTTTATCATACAAAAATGAACGGCATGCATCTCTAAGACTTTGACACTTTCACTCTCGTTACGTAGTATGCATATCTTACAGGTTTTGTCATGCTTTGGTGCTGAATATATATATTTTTCATTTTCTGGCTCCAGAGGAGAGAAAATTATTGAATAATTGATGGCTGGTGTTAGAAAGGGTGCAGGAGAAATAAGGGATCACACGTACATCTCCCTCGACTTGTTTCTGCATGCACACTTAAATGTCGCCATTGATTCATCATACTCCGCAAATAAAGAATCATAACTGAAGTTAACATTGGCTCAAGTCATTATTTCTTAGAAACTGCTGGTTTTGTGGCTATTTTAAAAGGTTTTATTCTAAATTATGTCTGATTTTTCCTCATAATGTGTGTGTATAGGATATTTAGGGGGTTGCAAGAATTACCTAATGAAATGATGGTGTGATAATTTAGCATAAAAATGAACAACTCAGGGTTATATTACTACATGTATTTGAACAAAATAGAAAATGTGTGGAACAATAAATTCTGTTTTTTGTAGCAATTGTGAATGTAGCTTTCAAAATGTCATTTAACTTAAAATTCTATTTCAGACAACATCAATGTAAATTATATCAAAATTACAGTACAAGTATTTATTATGATTCATTTTGAACTAGATTCCTGACCAGCTATATACATGTAGATTCATGGGGTATTTCAGAAACTGACATTTCTCTGCCAATCTAACAAAATGCTAATGCTTCCACAGATGAAAATGTATTGAAGTAAAGCTACTTATAAATCCGTAAGATGTTGTGACAAGAAGGTGTCTTAAGCTGCACCTCTTATTGTATTGGAGGGTGTGTTATTTCAAAAACTTAATTCTCTATTTAACAGTGTGCATGGCTTGTGTCCGAGAATTGTTCAGAATGCACTTTTAATGATAGGAATTTAAAGTTCGGCTCATATATTGATTACTAAACATGTATTCAAAGTTCAAAGGAACACTTTTGTCAACAACGCTAAGGCATCTCAGACAAGATATTATGTATAAATGTATAGGAAAACCACAACTACGATTTCTCTGTCAAGTAACACAGATTATACACAACAGTCTAAATCAATGATCTGGGAGAGTTATATATGTACTAGGTTATGTAGGGTCCATTTATTGACATTTCTGAGGTTTAATTGTAACCTTTGACAAGAATATCCCAGCAGCCCCGGCCAGTTACTAATAGATCTTTGTTATAGAAGTACTGGCTTCAATCAAAGGATTGTTCTTAGTGAATATGGCAAATCAATTTTTTTGTAGGCAAGAAGCATGCCCCAGTAAAGCGACACCATTCCGCGGGGGACATGCTCGATGGATTAGAGATTGAATCAGGAGTAGACGGACACAGCAAGCACGAGCGGCCCCGATCCGAGGGCCACAAATACATGAACCAGTTCTCACCCAAGAGGACCTCTAGTTATGGGGTAAGTTTGTATCATGTCTTACTCAAGAGGACCTCTAGTTAATGGGTAAGTTTGTATCATGTCTTACTCAAGAGGACCTCTAGTTATGGGGTAAGTTTGTATCATGTCTTACTCAAGAGGACCTCTAGTTATGGGGTAAGTTTGTATCAGTTCTCACGCAAGAGGACCTCTAGTTATGTAGTAAGTTTGAACAAGTTCTCACTTAGAAGAAGCTCTAGCTATGAGGTAAGTTTGAACTAGTTTTTACCCAAGAAAACCTCTAGTTATTGGGGAAACTTTGATAATTTTAGAAGCTTCATGGAATACCTGGTAATGAAAATGAAGGTTTTGTTCTGTTAGGATTATGAGTTTTGAGTGAAATAGGTAGATGAAAGGAAGACGATATCAGTACAGGGCCTACTTAGTTGGCTTGGACTAAATTTCAGCTGTTTTTGGATAAGTACTATCAAGGTACGTACTACATGTACTGAAAAGTGCAAGTACAGTAAAACCTTGTTATCTCACTTATTAGAGAACATCTGACAATTATCAGAGATATCAAGTGTAAAATACTGAGAGAATAAGTGTTTAGGACTTCTAATTCACTTCGACGTATCCTTGGTATTTGAGATCTGCATACTGAAGCTCAAAGGTTAGAAATGAGAGAGTTTTAAATAGCTGTATATTTTTTACTCCTTTGATATTTTATTTGCATTTTATAAAAATCAAGAATTGCTAACTAGAATTTATTTAATAGATTATTAAGATAAGTTGAGATATTCAAATGTATGGCATTCTTTAAACAGGGTAACTCTCCCTTTGGAAGAGCAGATTCCTACCAGAAGCTAGAACAGCTGGGGGAAGGATCTTATGCAACAGTATTCAAAGGATTTAGTTCGTAAGTTAATAATACAGATTTAAATGTTATATGTCTTATTTTCTTACCCAATAACCTACAGTAGAACTCGGTTAAAGCAAAGTCACTTGGACCTATGAAATTTCTTCGCTATATCCGTAATTGGTTATATCTGCGTATAAGGAATTTGTTAAATTTATATAGCTGCATCCAAGATAACTTCTCTTTATCTGTGAATTTGCAATATCTGTGTTCTTTTTAATCAAATTTTACTGTAATATATACCTATAACAAACTATCAAAAAATAAGTGCTTACTTTTGGGTGTTTCAAAAGCTATTGATAGAACCAATAACAATTAACCATTATTTAAAAAAATTTGATATTTATAGATTTGGTTTAAAATTTTCTTCGATCCATCACAAATGTTTTAGATTCTAACAAGATGTGGAAAATTATCCCGTCTAGAGACTTGCATCATACAGCTGTTTAATGTCATTGATTATATCATTACATGTAACAGTATATTATATAGATGAAAACGATCTAAAAAGTTCATGGACACATGCCATTTTTGGTAAAAATTAATGAGACTGTTAAGTATGTGCCATAATATTTAAACATAGACCATGATTGAGTAAATGTATTAAAATTAGAGCAATGCTCCATAAATTATAATGAGCACAAATGTAATGAGCATTTATTTTTTGTATGTACAATATGCATGACCCAGTCTAACATAAAGCCAAATTCATAAGTTCATAATTCACAAAGCAGTGGCTTTCCACTTGTAAGGTTTACATTGAGGATACTATTAAGTATGGTCAATTTTATATTAATTTTTATATTAAGAAAATAATGAGTTAATATGTACATGATGTAAAAATCATAGCAATGCACAATATTTTGCTAATGTTATCAGCATGAATACTTCGAATATACAAGACACACAGCAAAATTGATAATAACGTCATGCATACAGGAATTTTATATTTTCATTACATAACATTGTAATCTTCCAAGTATCCTGGCAGTACTGAATTAGAATATACACCACCTGAAAACGGTTTGTGCCATTATTAAAAAATATTTCCTGCTAATTCAATTAATATTAATTAGTACTTTAACAGATTACCATCAGACAAATTAACACACATTTTCCTTACACACTCTGGACCATTCAGAGCATGTCACTTTTTCACACATTTTAAGATGATGCACGTTTCTCATGCATTTTCTTGATATTCCCTCTAAAAAATCCAATAGTAACATAATATACATTTATTGCATGATAGTGAGGGAAATATGAAGACTTATTCAGCCAAGAAAAATCATATTCCCCGAGGGCTTTGCCCGAGGGGAATATGATATTTCTTGGCTGAATAAGTCTTCATGTTTCCCGAACATTCATGCAATGAATTGTTTATTATACCGAAACAAGCAAAACCTTTGAAATAAACATAAACTTTTAAATTCGGCACCTCTCTCAAATTCATTTTCATTTTTTTTGTAAAGTTTTTATAAAACACATTGTTCTACACATTATCATCAGTTTTATGACGTAAACCAGGCTATTGTGACGTCTACTTCTCTCGGGAGTTTTTGTTCAACGAACAAGAACTATATCAAGGGAAAATACACTAGGTGTTCCGAAGAGGTGGAATATGATGAAAAGCGTGCCGATGGTCGGGAAATATGAAGTTTTACGGCCCGATCACATGATAACTTAGAACCATTCAGATAACGCGTTGTTTAGAATATTTATAATGAGGTATAATAAGACATTTTAGGCACTTAACATTTAAGTTTTATTTAGATTTGAATTGCTGTTTAAAAAATTCTGTCATTTAATGGATCCAAAAACTTTATTTCAAAGTACAGTATACAACATTTTAAGCCTGGGTCTCACACACATTCTGTGACTCTATGAGCTAGGGCCATTTTTATATAGAAAATTAGTTCAGCAATCAAACATACCCGTAGTTTTATGTTGATTGAATAAAAAACATCTCACAAAACTGATATGTTCTAAATTTGCAGTGCATCAATAAATTGTCAACACATATGCAATCTATTTCTTCCTTTGAACTTCTATTTTTATTCCTCTTCTCACAAGAAAATAACACCTCTATGATAGAAACATAATTGATATAATATTCCACTGTTACCTTTGTAAACCACATGTAATTGTCATATTACACATAGGAAATTGCAATCTTCGAGACAATATTTTCTTTGAATTTAGCAAGCAATAGAGGTAAAGTGGTTGCCATAGTTTCTTACTAGGAATAATGATCTTTGACTTAGTGGAAGTTAGGGTATAAATTGACAAATGGTGGAGGAAACTCATTTCTGTGACTGAGTCCTCAACAGTAACACTATACAAATAGTTATTGATTCAGAAACTTAATTTGTTCTTGATATAAGAAACCTATTGCAGTGTTTCTTGGCTAATGGGATTCTTTCAAGTATGTACATTATTCTAAACCAAAGTAGAACAAACATAATTAGTATCTGAGATTGTGATATTTTGTTTTCTTCATATATCAGTGTTTGAGGATCCTGAAATCTTGAGAGAAGTAAAGGTTATGATGTAGGGTTCTTTTTTTAAAATCATTGTTGTTTTTTTTCTAGTAAAGTCTTTTAAATTTCAGATTAACCAATCAAGTGATAGCATTGAAGGAAATCCGCCTACAGCAGGAGGAGGGGGCTCCATTCACTGCAATACGAGAAGGTACTAAATATTGAACTGTTCATAATAAGGTGCAATACGAAAAGGTACTAAATATTGAACTGTTCATAATAAGGTGCAATACGAGAAGGTACCAATTATTGTACTGTTATATGAGGTGCAATATGAGAAGGTACCAAATGTTGCACAGTTATATGAGGAGCATATGAGAAGGTACCAAATGTTTCACAGTTATATGAGGTGCATATGAGAAGGTACCAAATATTGCACAGTTATAGGAGGTACATATACATTTATATGAGGTGCATATGAGAAGGTACCAAATATTGCAGTTATTTGAGGTGCATATGAACAGGTATCAAATATTGCACAGTTATATGAGGTGCATATGACAAGTTATCATATATTGCACAGTTATATGAGGTGCATATGAGAAGGTACCAAATATTGCACTGTTATATGAGGTGCATATTAGAAGGTACCACATATTGAATATGTATGTTGTTTAAATGAGCTCCATTGAGAAGAAATAAAAGCTTGTAGAGTTCCATAAGGCCCCTTTAAGGAGGTTTTAAATCTTGTGTTTTCTTATAAGTTCTATTTGAGAAGGTATATAAAGTAGGTATCAAGTTATTTTATGTTATGAAAGGTAAATTTGAATTCATCATCTAGCATGTTGTATTATTTTTGTCTTTGTTTTAATAATATGAATTATGTACATGACCTTTAAACAAAATAAAAAATAGGAAAAGAATTTTTTATGTGTAGGAGTGTATGCTCTTGTTAATTATGTAGAATTCAAAGTTTAATGAACATTAATGTTAAGTCGACATTATGCCGTTCCTGTATTGTTACTTGAGAAAGATTGTGCAGATTGTGCAGTCATAAAATTTGTAAACAGCTTATGTAAAACATTTTTTTTTATCTCAAATCAGAGCTGCACAAGTAAAAGTACATAAACCCTCACTAGAAGGAAATATTCTTTTTCAAGTAATCCTGATATTGACAAAGATATATAACTCAAAGGATTATCTTTATGGAGATAACTTGTATTAGAAATTGATTTATGGTTGCTTGTTTTTAAAGCAGAAATTAATAATTTTTTCCTGTTGTTAAATATTTATCTCGACAATTTTAATCAAAACAAAAAGTAAAACACTAAATTTAAAGTTATCCTTGATAAATTTATCATTAATATATCAATTACTCCTCATTGTCACTTTTCATCAAATTATAAAGTTAGATCAATAAACTCTTGTGGTTAAAGCTAATGAAGATTTGTACATGCTCATCACCAGTGGTGCACATTATTGATAAAGTGTTAAGTACTGATAACAAAATACTGTCAAACTGTTTGAGAGGATACATCAAAAATTATATCCCGCATTTTACCACTGTAGTCATTGATTTCTCAATTTTTTTCTTTCAGCCTCTCTTCTACGTGGGTTAAAGCATGCCAACATTGTGACCTTACATGATATCATTCATACCAAGGAAACTCTGACTTTTGTTTTTGAATTTGTAGTAAGTAGATTTAATGCAAATGATATTATTAGCAACATTAGTACAGCAAGTTGAATTCTTGGTTGAAACATATGATGTAAAGTATTATCATAGCCATCACAGAAGAGAGAATAGTTGTATACTAGGGAACATTCATAGATATATAAAATCATTTTATCTGTGCCCTATCAAAATCCATGGCATCATCAGCTTAGAATAATAAAAAAAAATACATGACTTGTATCAATAATTTCTGGAAAAAAATTCTGCTCTTATACTATTACAAGATTTTAAAAATAAATGTTGTCCAACTGTTATGATATGCATATAAATATGAAGACCTTAATTCACTGTGTTTTTTGTTCATTTATTTGTAAATTGTAAGTTTACTCAGATTTATTTTTGTCTCTTTTCCAGCATACAGATCTTAGTCAATATTTAGAAAAACACCCAGGTGGTTTAAATGCATTTAATATCAAGGTATGTGTTCATTTATTTTATTTGCTTATTGCAATTTCAAGTACCCTGCAATATCTGTACCTTAATGGATTTATATTTTATGACTGGTACATGTATGATTTATTTAAATGTAAAAATTGGCACGGGGGGGAGGGGTCTTACATTGTTGGCAATAAAAGATTATCTCAGCTTCAGTATTTGTAATTTGAACAAGAAAGGCACTTCCATCCAAGTACAGATCTAAATGTCTTTTTTTGTTGCAGTTATTTTTATTCCAATTGCTCAGAGGCCTAAACTACTGTCATCAGCGAAGAATTTTACACAGGTGAGTCAGGGTTCTTGTCACTGTACGACAAAGTCTTTGTCTTAAATGTTTCATCTTTACATTTCTATAAATGTGGTGTTCCATGAATTTATACATACATGTATTTAGCATTCTGTATTTTGTTTCAAAATTTTTATTGAATTTGATTGTGCCAAAAGATCTCATGAGCACATCTGATATCAAGGAAAAAAATCTAATTCAAAGAAAGACAACTCTTGATATATTAACATTTCTCATTATGTCACAAGTGAAAAGTTTATCACTATATACCCTTATTAGAATGCTTAATCATACTCTGTAAGGCTTTCCTGACACGTTCAGGCAAATACTTTTTTTTGCCCCCCCCCCCCCCATCTCCCCAAGCTATGTGATATAATATGTAAAATGTAAGTTTTGCATCTGAATTTTTCTTTATATATTTTAAATAGATTTTAAACCCCAGAATCTGCTGATCAGTGAGTTAGGTGAACTGAAATTGGCAGACTTTGGTAAGATAATGCTTAATTTACCGTAGAATTTACACTAGTAAATATATGTCTGTAACATGAATGTACACATATAACAATCACATATAGTTGAATTTATCTCTGAAAATGCCCAGTTTTTAGCTCACCTGAGCCGAAGGCTCAAGTGAGCTTTTCTGATCACATTTTGTCTGGCGTCCGTCTGTCCGTCTGTCTGTCCGTCTGTCTGTCTGTCTGTAAACTTTTCACATTTTCAACTTCTTCTCAAGAACCGCTGGGCCAATTTCAACCAAACTTGCCACAAAGTATCCTTGGGTGAAGGGGATTCAAGTTTGTTCAAATGAAGGGCCACGCCCTCATTCAAGGGGAGATAATTGGGAATTAATGAAAATTTAGTGGCATATTTTAATAAAATCTTCTTCCTAAGAACCACTGTGCCAGGAAAGATGAAACTTATGGAGAAACATCCTCAGGTAGTGTAGATTCAAGTTTGTTCAAATCATGACCCCCGGGGGTAGGGCGGGGCCAAAATGGCTGACCAAACTTTTACATAGAAATATATAGGAAAATTCTTTGAAAATCTTCTTCTCAAGAATGACAAAGCCATAATTCATCATATTTATATGGAAGCATGTTCAGGTAGTGTAGATTCAAGTTTGTTCAAATCATGACTCTCCCGGGGGCAGGGCGGGGCCAAAATGGCCGACCAAAGTTTTACATAGAAATATATAGGAAAATTCTTTAAAAATCTTCTTCTCAAGAATGACAAAGCCATAATTCATCATATTTATTTGGAAGCATGGTCAGGTAGTGTACATTCAAGTTTGTTCAAATCATGACCCCCCGGGGTAGGGCGGGGCCAAAATGGCCAACCAAACTTTTACATAGAAATATATAGGAAAATTCTTTGAAAATCTTCTTCTCAAGAATGACAAAGCCATAATTCATCATATTTATATGGAAGCATGTTCAGGTAGTGTAGATTCAAGTTTGTTCAAATCATGACCCCCGGGGGCAGGGCGGGGCCAAAATGGCCGACCAAAGTTTTACATAGAAATATATAGGAAAATTCTTTAAAAATCTTCTTCTCAAGAATAATTCATCATATTTATATGGAAGCATGTTCAGGTAGTGTAGATTCAAGTTTGTTTAAATCATGACCCCCGGGGGCAGGGCGGGGCCAAAATGGCCGACCAAAGTTTTACATAGAAATATATAGGAAAATTCTTTGAAAATCTTCTTCTCAAGAATGACAAAGCCATAATTCATCATATTTATATGGAAGCATGTTCAGGTAGTGTAGATTCAAGTTTGTTCAAATCATGACCCCCGGGGGTAGGGCGGGACCAAAATGGCCGACCAAAGTTTTACATAGAAATATATAGGAAAATTCTTTAAAAATCTTTTTCTCAAGAATGAGAAAGCCATAATTCATCATATTTATATGGAAGCATGTTCAGGTAGTGTAGATTCAAGTTTGTTCAAATCATGACCCCCGGGGGCAGGGCGGGGCCAAAATGGCCGACCAAAGTTTTACATAGAAATATATAGGAAAATTCTTTAAAAATCTTCTTCTCAAGAATGACAAAGCCATAATTCATCATATTTATATGGAAGCATGTTCAGGTAGTGTAGATTCAAGTTTGTTCAAATCATGACCCCCGGGGGTAGGGCGGGGCCAAAATGGCAGAGCAAAGTTTTACATAGAAATATATAGGAAAATTCTTAAATATCTTCTTCTCAAGAATGACAAAGCCATAATTCATCATATTTATATGGAAGCATGCTCAAGAAGTGTAGATTCAAATTTGTTCAAATCATGACCCCCAGGGGTAGGGCGGGGCCAAAATGGCCGACCAAAGTTTTTAAAGATATATATAGGAAAATTCTTTAAAAATCATTTTCTAAAAAATAGCAAATCCATGATTGGTCATAGGACTACTTTTGGATTTAAATTTTACAATAAAAAGCCATTTTCTACTTTTTCCTACCCTTAGTGCTCAGGTGAGCGATGTGGCCCATGGGCCTCTTGTTTCTATTCCTTTTCAACTATTTGAATTAGCAAGTATAACTCTGTTTTCACAATATTTCTGTGTTTTTCAGTGATGTTAACATTTGTATCTTTTCACTCTCTGCCTTAGGTTTAGCCCGAGCCAAATCGATTCCTAGCCACACCTACTCCCATGAGGTGGTGACTCTGTGGTACCGCCCACCTGATGTCCTGCTGGGCTCCACTAACTACTCCACATCTCTAGACATGTGGTAAATAAAACTTCACTTTTCTCTGAACATGTGGTATCTTTAACTTCCCCTCTCTAAATCATCTCTGGTACATGTAATGTGGTAAATGTAGCCTCACTTCAGTTAAGTATAGTCAAATCTTGTTATCTCAAACTCAGTGGAACCTAGAAAAAACTTAGATATCTGATAAATCAAGTTATAGAGGGTAAAATACTTAAAGAATAAGTGGTTGGGACTTCCAAATCACTTCAGCATATCCATGATATTCGAGATGTCAGTGTTCGAGATACATTGTACCAAAGTTCAACTGTAACATTACATTTTTGTGACATGGGTATAGATATATTCTATTATGATTGATATTTTTAAAATATAGGTATGAAGTTTGTATTTTTATTTTTGTTTGTTATTTAGTTTTTTAGCTCACCTGAGCTGAAGGCTCAAGTGAGCTTTTCTGATCACATTTTGTCCGTCGTCCGTCCGTCTGTCTGTCCGTCTGTCTGTCCGTCTGTCCGTCTGTAAACTTTTCACATTTTCGACTTCTTCTCAAGAACCACTGGGCCAATTTTGACCAAACTTGGTACAAAGCATCCTTGGGTGAAGGGGAATTTGAATTGTTAATATAAAGGGCCAAGTCCCCTCACAAGGGGAGATAATCAAGAAAAGACAAAAATAGGGTGGGGTCATTAAAAAATCTTCTTCTCAAGAACCACTGGGCCAGAAAAGCTGAAACTTATGTGGAAGCATCCTAGGGTAGTGTAGATTCTAAATTGTTCAAATCATGACCCCCGGGGGAAGGGCGGGGCCACAATGGGGAATCAAAGTTTTACATAGAAATATATAGGAAAAATCTTTGAAAATCTTCTTCTCAAGAACCACAGGGCCAGAAAAGCTGAAACTTATGTGGAAGCATCCCAGGGTAGTGTAGATTCTAAATTGTTCAAATCATGACCCCCGGGGGAAGGGCGGGGCCACAATGGGGAATCAAAGTTTTACATAGAAATATATAGGAAAAATCTTTGAAAATCTTCTTCTCAAGAACCACTGGGCCAGAAAAGCTGAAACTTATGTGCACATGGAAGGATCATGGGGTAGTGTAGATTTCAAATGTCTAAATTATGATCAGTGGGGTAGGGTGGGGATGCATTATGTATTAAGGGGGAAATCTGGTAAAGAACAGAATGGTCAAAGCTTCTCAGGTGAGCGATGTGGCCCATGGGCCTCTTGTTCCTTCTTTTTGCAGGGGTGTAGGTTGTATTTTATTGTTATTTAGTTTTTTCTTCTTTCTTTTTACAGGGGTGTAGGTTGTATTTTCACAGAAATGATCTCTGGCAGTGCCACATTTCCTGGAATGAAAGATGCATATGATCAACTAGATAAAATTTTCAGGGTGAGTTAATAAAACGAATTAATATTACAGCTGTTTCAGAAAAAAATACAAAACACATGTAATAAAGTGGATGTAAATATTTTTAATTGTAAATGTGTACTTTTTAGAAAATCCCCTTTTTTACTTTATAGAAGGGATAATCAGAATATAGACATTTTTATCGTTCTATTAAAAAAACTTGTTAGAGATCAAATAAAAGACATTGGTTTTCCTGTGCAAGTATAAACCATTTCTAAGTAAAAAATAAATGGTAGTCTGTTATCAAAATGAGGGTGTCTTGTAGTAATCTTAAGGCCCTCAAATCTTTTCCTCTATGCAACACTTTTATGAGAAATGACAAGTGGTTAGCATCTTTGCCAATTTCTTTGGTAGCCAAGATTTTTTGGTCCAGTCTGCTTCCATATGGGGGTGGAATTGACTGAAAACTGTTGGCCAGCAAAGATGAATGTCAATGAGGATCCAATATCTCGGTTTTTCTAATTTGTGAATAACTGTTAGTTGTAAGTTATTTTGTGTACAGATAAGATAACCTTATTTACAATGAACTCAAGCTTTGCTTATCACTAAGGCATTTATGAAAGAATTTATTTTTTGTAGGTGCTGGGAACCCCCACAGAAAACACTTGGGAGGGAGTGTCTAAATACCCTCAATATGACATCAGTAAGTCTAAATACCCTCAATATGACATCAGTAAGTCAATTCTAGATGATTTTAGCACTTACTTGTTCACTTACAAGGAAAATAAAACTGCTTTGTTATGAATTCTACAAAGTAAGAAAAGAACATTTTAATATGTGTCATGTTCTGAAATTTTGATTTTTTACTACCAGAAAAATTTGTCACATACCCAAAGTTATCCTCATTAACTGAGGCTATTCCAAAAATGGCATTCATCCCCAATGCTGAGAGCATCGCAGTGCAATTCCTTCAGATGATTCCTTCCAGGCGAATCTCCGCTCACAAAGCCCTGCATCACGACTACTTCGGAGACCTGCCTCCCAAACTGTTTGAACTTCCTGATGGTAGGTGTAATATATTTCTATTTGCTAAAGGAATATATGCCACAATCACCCAGCCTTCCCAGATAATTCATGGAGTTGGGATACGAATGATATTCATATGTTTAAAGACTATAGAGATCAGAAAGGAATTTTGTGTGTATTTTACATGGATCATTGATATACTGTAAACCAACTTTTTTTCACGTGCGAGAAATTTTTGCGAGGTTCAAGAGAGCCTCGGTCATTGCAAATATTCCTCGCTGCGAACGGGTCCTTAAAGTCTTTTTTTCTATTAAAAACAGTTCCAAAAAAGGCTTGATCGCGAAAATTAATCGTCGCGAACTAGTTTATTCCCGGTAAATCGCGAAATAAAGTTGTCGCAAATAAAAGTTGGTTTACAATTATTTATAATCTACCCATTCTACATTACACATGATAGTACCAGTAGGCAAATTAAATTAGTTTATTGATATTTTTGATGATGAAAATACCTCAATGAAACATTTCTTCATTTCTGAAATATATTTCAGCTGCCTCCATCTTTAACATTCCTGGATTGAAGCTGTTACCTGAAATGGACGAGCTGATCAACCAGTCCCTGACCCCCGCCAAACCCCAGGAGCGCACTCGTATACGCACAACCCTCAAAGTATAGTCCTTAACCTGCAGATTGCTGTAGTCTTATTGGTATGTCTAATTTAGAGTGCTACTGCTTTGTTAATTTTTATGTCTTTAACTTAAGAGGGGGAAAAATAGAATGCATCATGGTTAGTTGTTAGGTACTTAAAAAATAGCTTTTTTCATGGAGGGGGGAAGCAGGGGGAGATAATGCAGGAACTTACAAGTTAACTCTTGAAACATATTTAAATTTCATACAGTTGAAAATGTTTATGCTGTAATTAGCTTTGTATAAAATGGACACATTTCTTTATTTTTTCAGTGCCAAGTTCCCTTTTTCACTTGTCTTCACCAGTGCTGATCCAAGTCCTGCTCCCCACGTACACAAACCATGATGAAGTTTTCCATTAGTAGATTGTAGTTTTAAAAAAGCCCACAGCATTGCCATAGGACCTTATAGCTCACTTGTCTGAGAGTATAGCCATCCACAGGAGACACCATCCATTAGATCAGTAGAATTCATTCACCCCATATTTTGCCAAAATTACATCAAAGGTTGTTTTTATTCATTGACTTGAATGTCTTTCTCCATTATTTTTTATTGTACACAAGATCTGATTGAGAGAAAGAGCTTGATGATAAAACTGTGTGAGAGGATATATGTATTATTGTCTCATTTTAATGTCAAATCTGGAAGAAAATTTTCTGCCCTCCATTTTGTTTTTTTCAGCATATTTTTTTTAAATAATTGTGTACAGTTACACCATTTATTGTGAATATTTTGTTTGTTTCTGTTTATTTCACTTGATTCATGAAATTTTTTTGTGGATTATATTTTTTTCTAGTCTACTTACACTACAGTATTTTAAAGTTTATAATAATTATTGTTTCAGTATAATGTCAAGTAGAAAAAAATTGTCTCCAAACATATATATGAAAAAAAAAATCAGATGCATTGGTTTAATGTTAATAATAGTGTATGCAGTTGGCAAAAAAAGAAAATCAAAAATATATGCACTAAGAACAACTTATATTTAGCTTAAGTTTAATTTCTTAGAATTATATAGTGATTAGAAATGCTCAAAGGCAGAAGAATGAATGTACACACAGTAAAACTCGGTTATAACGAAGTCGCTGGGACCTCTGAAATTACTTCGCTATATCCGTAATTCGTTGTATCCATATAAGGAATTTGTTAAATTTATATAGCTGGGGATCCAAAATACTTCACTATATCCGTGAATTCGCAATATCTGTGTTCGTAATAACCTAGTTTTACTGTACCTGTGTATTATAATAATGGCAAAATAATCTAATTTGTCTCTGGACTCTAGTCAAATGATGAGGACAATATTGTATGGCATGTACATTTATAACGAAGTGTTCATGTAATGTTTAAACAAAAAAACTAAATGATGTAAAAAGCTCAGCTAACCTGAATGTAATCAAATATTTTTTCCTAGTATCACTATAATTAACAAAATTTAATTTTGAAATAGATTTGGGACCAAATAAGCACTTGTAAAAGGGTTTGCTGAAAATAAAACCTACACCTTTCTTCTTCAAAGAAAACATTTGATTTTTATTTGAATTTTTTACCAGATTGTGTAATTATTCTGTCAGCTGTCTTATTGAGTTGTTTATTTTTAGTTTGGATTTGTGTGTGGCTTGTGCTTTCTCCAGTCGTAAAATCCGTACGATTATAGCAAGTATTTTATTCATACTTCTGATGTGGTCAGCTTTGCTGCTTATTATAGCATTTAAAAATGCATTGTGATTTTTTTCTTAAGCATGTGAATGTGATAGCTAGTATTTAATGAAGCTGTGAGTTTTGTTCCCCAGAAAATGTTTAAAAAGTAATCAATGATTTTTTTTTTTATTGTTTGTATATAAAATCCGATTTTATGTGTAATTTATGTGTTGAACATTTCCACATCTGTTCAGAGATTTTGTAGCATTTAGTACATCAATTCTAAGTTCCTCTTTCTCTTATTTCAGGTAATAAATAAGTGCTCTGAATTTTTACTCTCTTTTTTCACAATGTTGAGGTCTATTGAATTCTACGTGTGAAATTTATCCTTTAGTTTTATAGAATCTAGTCGTAAAAAATGCTTTGACAGCTTTATTTTTTCAGATAAATTTTGCCTTTTAGCAATAGAGAGCACTTTTTCAAAACTGAGTTTGGAATTATCTGAATATCATTTCCTGTAATTTTAGAAATCTTGACAGATGTTGCTTTTATTGGAAGATTCTATAAAGTTACTAAAATGTGGAGAAAATAAGAGTCTTGCTTTTCTCAAACATTTTCTGCCATCTTTATAAAATCATTCCACATATTTTGCCAATCAGTACATTTTCAAATTAATGTATTATGTGATCCTTTTTTTCTCTCTCTTGAATCTCATCAAAACCGGACACAAACTTGTCAGACATGTTTAGAGCCCTCTTATGTCATTTAGTTGCTTTTGTGATGAGGTACAGTTTGCATTGACAAACAGAATTTTACATTTCAATAAATAATGTTGATGTAATATTAAAGCTATTGGTATAATTTCTCAATCAGTTTTTAGCTCACCTGAGCTGAAAGTTCAGGTGACTGAGCTTTGCTAAAAAAGATCCTTGGATAAAGGACATGAAGTGCCACATCCTTTTGAGGGAAGATAATATAAAAAAGAATGAATTAAAAATTGGTAACATCTCTGAAAAATCCTCATCTCAAGAATTATTGGACCAGAAGCTTCATTTACGTAGTCTATGGATTTAATTTTGTTCAAATCATGACCCACTGGGAGTTAATTTGGTTAAGCCCCACAATGGGGGATCAGTTAACATGCATAGTCTAGCAAAATGCAATAAAGACCAGCCTTTTAAGTTGTACATGTTTTAACAATTTATTAACATGGAAAACAAATGATTAACATGGAAAAATATATTAATATAGATAAAAAAATAAGAGCATTTTGTGAATTGTTGAATAAATAAAATCAGTTATATATAAAACTAACCACTGCAATGTGGATTAATTTGGTCCCCAGAGTATTTCTGCTGCACAGAGAAAGCCACATTAACTTATATATTTATACATCTTCGTTTTCAAACAAACTTGCTATTTTTTCCCGATTCCTGGCAAATATGACAAATACAAGTACACACAGGATAACAAAAATGATTGCACAGCCGATCCCTAAAAGTGTATAGTGCATGGTTGTGAAGGGCTTGGTGACATATTTAACCTTGGCTGAAAAAGAAAGAAGAAATTTTAATACACAGCAATAATTATATACACTAATCAATACACAGAAATAATTATATATTCACTAATCCTCTATGAATATACACTGTATGTGAAAAATAGACTCAAGTTTTATCATCAAATAAGATGTACATGAAGCAATAGGCTATAACGTAAAAGGGTCATTAGATGTATATTGCATTCTGAAAACTGTTATTATTTTTTAAGATAATATTTTTTTTAAAGGAAATCTAAATTGTATTAGAAATGCAAACAATTATCAGAATACCCCGCGGTGCAAAATTTGAAGGAAATAATACAGTTGCTGTTCTTTGTGAAAGTTATGTCTATATTCTAAATGTGACAATGAACTTTTTAAATCTACCTCAAGATTATGTTAAATTTGAAGCAGGAGGATTTAAATTGATCTGCATCAACAAGAGTGTGTGGTTTAATCTCTTACACTGTCCTTAACCCCTAACATTACCTTGATACAATTTATTTGATTTACTGCAACATTTGCATCATGCTTTCAGTTAGTATACTCAAGTTGAAAATCACCGAAAATGTCCCCCCCCCCCCCCAAAAAAAAAAATTTCCAGCATATATAAAGTGTTCTTATACTTTTCATTTTCAGATCAAAAGCTGTAATTTGATGTCATATATAATAGTATACAATGTGATCTAAAGACACAGTCTTTCTCAAAAATCAAAATGGATTTTATTTTTAAAATTCACAAGAGATATACAATCATACCTGTAGTTTTGGCCCAGTATGCTATTTTAAAGCCTCTATAATTATTATCGGAGCTGTCTGATGCGAAATCTATCATGATAGTTCTATATTTTGAGTGGATGGTAGAGGTGGGAAAACTGAACCCACATATTGACACTATCTCAGGGTATAGACTGCTTATACCTGCAAAAATAAAATAAACTTCAATAGCAAAACACGTTAAAGGTTAAATGGTATGTTTATCTTAAAAATCATTTCAAATTCCACTTGTGTTAAAGAGATGCATGTTTTAAAAATAATACCGGTAATAATACATGTATACGGCTAGTCAAACCCCGTTTTCATAAACTCGAGGGTGTTCGAAAAATCAACTTTGAGATATCCAAGGGTTCGAGATATTTAAGAGGGTAAAATACTTAAAAGAAAAGGTGCTTGAGACTTCCAAATCACTTCGCCATATTCATGGCTTTCGAGATATCTGAGTTGGTGATACCGAAGTACAACTGTATAAAGTATAGTAGATTTTGCAGTACTCACCGTCATAGATAGCGACTACGTCATTATAGCAGGCGAGAGACGGCTGGAGTTGACTGTCAATCACTCGGAGGTACACGGAGGGGTCCTCTATAGAGTTTGTGGCAGTTATTACCCAAGACATGGAACTGGAGCTGAAAAAGTAAGATTCGAAGTCTAATATCACAGAAAGATTATGATCTTTCATTATCAGTGCTCAGTGCTTCTTTGTTTAAAGGAATGGAGATGTGCAGATTGTGTCCTCTCATTTCATACAGAAATTAGGATAATCATACCAAAGGAAAAAAGCAGAAGAAATCAGAATATATGTATAATTTTGCAATTCTGAGGTAAAATTATTAAACTAAATCGAGAGCGTGTCTTTCTGTCATGCTGTACATGTGCATGGGGGTGGGGGATGTAGCTTCTAATTTTTTTCAGTACTAAATTACGTGACTCTAACTTACTGTACATGTAATGCATGCAACAACAGAATTGGGATGGTGGGCTCCTGGACTTTCAGTAAACATTTATTATAGTAAAAAGGCTAAGTATGGGGAAAAAAAGACCCAGGGTAGCAGCCCCAACCCACTCCACCCTCGGTGTACGTTCCTGAGCTTAACTGTTACAATGCCAGCCGTCTTTGAACGTATTGTTTTCTTTTGTTCGTATATAATGTTTTCTTTGTTAGTTTAAGAAGACTGATGTGAATCAAACCTGCACTATATTTCTTATATTCTAATCTAGTAAATGTGTTATGTTAAATCATGGAAGGTGTTATTTCTCGTTTACAATCAAAAATATATTTTAAAGTTTGATAGAATTCCTCATATTAAGTTTTGATTAGTTTTTTTTTTTTCCGAGTCAATCCATCTAAATGCTCTTGTTATTAAATTGCCATTTAAGGATAAGCTACTTAAAGATATGTAATAAATCTTAAAATCAAAGAAAATACACTCTAAAAAAAGTTTTACTTAGTAATTTATATTTACTTAAATTTGTGTATGTAAGTAATAACATATTACTTGGTTTTTACTTACAGTTTACCACTAATTACTAGCTATTACTAAAATATTTTTAAATTGCTATATTTAATTGTTTTACTTAAAACAATAAATTATTTACTGCATCAAGGAGGATTCAGAGCAGCTGCAGAACAAATTACTTAAATCTGGTAGTCTAATCACTATATATATATACTATAATGCAAAAAAAATGAAAGATATCAGAATTTTATTTTAATTCCTATATATAACTAATATTTTTTTGCCCCCGTAAACGAAGTTTCGGGGGTACATAGTTTTTGTCGTGTCCATCTGTCTGTCTCTCTGTCTGTTTCTCTGTTTGTCCGCAAAAACTTTAACCTTGCACATAACTTTTGATTTAGCGGAGCTGTGACTTGCATATTTCACATGTCTATTCCTTTTGACAAGACCTATCTTTGAGTATCGCCAAATTTGACCTTGACCTTGGAGTTTGACCCACTTTTACAAATTCCAAACTTTTTCTTTAGCCATATCTTTTTAACAGTAAATACCAGGACATTTATACTTCACATATGTACTCTTTGTTTCAAGACCTTTCATTGGATACCAACAACCATGACCATTTGACCTTGACCTCGGAGATTTCAATCCTTGTGAACAAACTTTAACCTTGGCCATTACTTTTGAACGATAAGGGATAGGGCTTTCATACTTACATATATGTAATTCCTGTGAGAAGACCATTCATTAGATACCAAGAACTTTGACCCTTTGACATTGACCTTGGAGTTTGACCCACTTTTAAAAAGCAAACCTTGACTTTAACTTTACAAAGGTTGGGGTTAGTGCATTCATACTTTACATATTTCATCCTTGTGACAAGAACTTTCTTTGGGTACCACCAAATCTGACCCTTTTCCTTGACCTTGGAGTTTGATCTACATTTCAAAGTTGGTAAACTTGACCATAACTTCTGAAGGGTTGGGGCTAGTGCTTTCATATTTCAGATATGCATTTTTTGTGGCAGGACCTTTCATTAGATACCAATAACATTGACCATTTGACCTTGACCTTTGAGATATCAAGAAATACCAATATATTGAATTTGCATAAAAGAAAAGTTAAACCTTTGCTATGTTGCCATAAGGGGGGCATTAGTGTTTCACAAACACATCTTGTTTGAATTGTATTCAATTGATTTACTTAAAACAATAATTTATTTACTGAATCAAGGAGAATATTCAGAGCAGTTGCAATACAAATAATTACTTATATATACATTTGTGGTATCTTTCCACTATATAAACATACAGAGAGAAAATATCTTCAATTCTGTATGAAGTTTGTCGGAGGTCAGAGGTCAATGTATGGCCGAATCACACGGCGCAATAATATCTACCGGTACATAAGTTATAAAATTACCTGCTCTACTTCCTTTTCATGTATAAAAAATGAACAAAATAAGCAAGTAAAATGATTAATTTTTTATTTACAATGTAAACAAGTATTTCTTACATTTTGGCTATCGATTCAACCTGTGTACATAGAGAAAACTAGCGTTTGTTGACATTTTTCTTCACTAATTCTTTTGTCAGCTTCATAGTCTCTAACGTTCATCCTTATTTTGGGGGTAGACCTTTGGTTAAATTTTCATGATAAACTATTATTTTATCTTTAAATTCTACTCACGATTAATGTGTAAATCTGTTGGAAAATATCATTGCAATCATGCCATGAACGACTGCCAAACTCCTCGGCATTTTCGTAGTTCCATGCAAAGCTGTAGCCAGTGTCTCCGTGTTTATCAGTGTTTTACGATAAGTATGTCTTTGGTTACTGAAACCGTAGAATGTTTTTGATCAAACTGCAAATTAACTGGCTCGGACAAGTGTCTCAATCCATCGGATCCATCCATCCCTTTCCGACGACCGAAATTCCTCCAACTGTTTATCATCAAACTTCGGACGTATTTCTTGTGTCTTTTCCCCATCGATAATCAAATTTCACGAATAAAAATATTCCCAGACAACAATTTATTCACTATTACTGATCACAAGTAGCCTTCACAAAATATCCCCTTCTAAATAGATTCCTTAGCCTAATGAATTCGAATCGTAACCGCCATGCAAGCCGATTTACACCTTGCGTCATTTTTCAAAATCTACGACGGACAGTTAGTGCAATAATTTAAATTCGAAAATATTAAATTGTCTGTCTCAAATGTATATATAAGTAATAAATAACAAGTTTATAAACTTCAATGGGAATTGAAGTGGGTCGGTACGTGATCAAATCTTCTGAGAAGGCCTTCGGCCTTCACAGGATTTGATCACGTGACAGACCCACTTCAATTCCCATTGAAGTTTATAAACTTGTTATTTATTTCTTAAAAAAATGGTAGTCTAATTACTATCAGGATTGAATTCTTAAATTGTCATATTAATTGTCTGTGAGGAGGAGTTATCTTTCTTCTAAATATTCCTTCATGTAAAAAAAAAGTTATACTGATTAAAATGCTGTATTAAGTACTTGAAACTTTAAACCATTTATAAAATGGTCCTTAAAAATATACAAATTATTCAATTTAGAAGGCTTTTGATGTTGGAATTAAATGTTTTATTGCTAAATATAATAAAACAATTACAAAGAAATAATGTCGATTTTAGTAAATATGATAAGTATATCATTTACTTAGTATTCTCCTAAGTAATAATATTCTAGATTTAACTAATTTCAGAATTACATTTACTTAGTAATAAATCATAAAACCTAGTAAACAGAAAGCATATTAATTCTGAATTAAGTAATAATGATTTACTAAAAATGAGTAGTTCATTTACTAAGTAATATATAATTCCTATTAAGTATTGATACTTAGTAAATCATTTTATAAGTAAATGAATTCATCCTTATTACTAATTATGTTTACAATTACTAACAATGATAGTCATTTACTTGCTATTCTGACTAAATGGATTACTAATAATTACTAATTTTTCTAAATCTAATATCTTATTTTAAAAGCAACAAGTAAAACTTTTTTTAGAGTGTAATTGGTTAATTTTTGCTCAGGCGTTGACGTGATCTAAATTCGACAGATAAACTATTAGTATCCAAGTAAACCATTTTAAGCACGTATATAGCATCCGAGTGGGAGGGGGGGGGGGGTCCCCCTCTTTTTCCAGATGTATCTTTTTACTGTACGGAAAATTTTACCTACGGTTTATTGATAGTCCGACCCTTCTTTTGTTGCAGTATAAGTAAATAAGGATAATATTAACGTATAGTAGCGTTTGATTTTAAATAAAATGGTACTGAAAGGAGTTGGAATCTACAACCCCACCCCACCCAAACCCCACGAAATACATAATATAGAATTATCGAGTGTGGACAATTTCTATTTTATTTTTTTTATTTTATTTATTTATTTTTGGTTTGTCAAGTATTTTTCAGGCATGTAGATTTTTTTTCTCTGCCCCCTTTCAAAAATGATATTGTACAAAAGAGAAATAGAGCTGTGTATACTATAGATATCAAAGTTGTCTTATACACGGTACTCACTCTCCGTAACTTTGTGGATAGTTGGGTGATGTGATATATTGAACAGTTTCGTTTGCTGTAAGATACCTCGTTACTCCCTCTGAAATTAAAAATCATGTGTGGAACGTAGACGTTTACGAAAATTAATTACCGTATACGAACTAATGCACTTGTAGAATAAAAATCAGGTTTGAATCTTAAAAATGTTTCATTAATTTTAAAAGCACATGTAAAGCATCATTTTATATACATTGAATACGTATTTTTATTATCATTTAAAAGTAATTTATACGAAGAAATTCAATATTCATAAATACAAAGACTTTTACGAGTTTAAGATTTACAAGTTTTAATAATACCTTATTTACTTACCAACAAAATATGAATAGTAATAAAATATAAAAGTTGTAGATATTAAATTTCCAATGTTCATTTTCCTGTACATTTTGAAGTCCGTAGTCACCTCGTCATTATTATTCCTCCAAACTCGACGACGGAATCAGACATCCATACATTTCGTTTTACACAAAACACTCTAAAACCTTTGTTGATCAAATGAGATTTGTTGACGTTTTGTTGTTCTTGCACAATGTATTAGCCAATATCACATATTCTTCAAATCTTTTTATTTGTTTACACATGTACGATCAAATCCATGCGTTTCTTATCCTTTCGGTCAAAAATGGAGATTACAACTTACGTTGATGAGTTAACAATAAAACCATCAGGAAATCTCCATAGGAGAGAACTTCAGTGATATTTTAATAATGGATTCCATAAACCGATTATCTGCTTTTTATAAAAAGATTTTCTTACATTGTATATTCCGAATGCCGACGGGGCATTTTTAAATACCCGTTAAATAATACGCTAAATCATTCAGAAAAATTTAATTCGGGGGTTGTTTGTATATAATATAAAATAACTTTCTCATGGTGACAAGTGGATATAATATACACGTGGGGACCTCGATCATCAATTTTTTATCTGTCACTCAACTTAATCTTTATCCTTCATAGAATTTATTTGATAATTAGAAATCAACACGAATCATTTGAATTAAAATTCCTTCTTGGTATACGCTAAACCAAAGCCGTTTCATTCTCAAAATGAAAAAAAAAGAAAATTCAAATATGAAGAATGATGCATCATTTTATTTCAAGACGAACTCCTTTATAATTACATACCGTTTCTAAAAGGGATGAATTGAATATGATTATAATAAATCGATCATTACCACTTTACCAGTTATTCGAGAAGAGAAAACAGGCTGAAGTTTTTTGATAATGTGTTTGTGGAATACTCTATAAATACTAAATAACCAACGCTAATTTTATTTACTCTCAATTTTCCAAAATGTGAAAAACCTTATTTGTTGGGGCACCTTTTCTAGCGGAAAGGGGTCTGCGTTTCCGGGGGGGGGGGGGGTTCCAAGATAACTTTTAGTTGGTTAAGCATACTAATATATATTTAATAACTCTGCAAATTCCCTACCCCCCCCTCCCAGATCCGAGCATATAATCAGAAAAGATTAAACCTCTGGTTGTGTAAAAAATAAAGCTTAATTTTAAAAAATGAAACGCGATTCGGTAATAACATATACATACAATGTATGTATTTCAGGTCACAGGTGGTACTCGTAATGTACATGTATTATATATAATGACAAGCACGCTATTGAGTGTCTGCAATCCAACCATCCAAAAAATGTCAAATAATTTCTGGAACTTTATCGCTTTTATTCTTTTTAATTTAAGCGTTCAACAAACCAATTCAGGTGGGTCTCGAGACTTTTGACTTCTTTTTTATGCCATTAAATTCATTAAGAGTCATTCGTTTATTTACATGTATTATCAAATTGAAACCTTTCGCATCTGAAAATAATCATACATAAATCATCACATTTAAAAGTTTAAAACATTAAAAAAAAGTTTTAAACTATAAAAAGTTTTAAACATTATATTAGAATACCTGAATATTTGACATTTTTGAAATTCAACAAACAGCGCTAGCAAATTTTTGTTCATTATCAATAAGCTTTAAGGTATTTCTAGCTATATAAGATCTACATGCACTTCGGTATTTACATGTACTAAGGGAGTGCATTGACAACATTGTACAATAAGGACTGGCAATAGTTTTGATATTGTACATATTTGAACAAATTAATTACACAAAATTGACATTCAGAATGTTTTTACATGCTCAGTAAAGAAAACTTTGAAGGTGTGTTCGAATTACACGTACTTCCTACATTCTGTGTCTTATAATTATGCAATTTATTAAAATTCATTTCAATTAAAAAACCTTTGTTGTTGCCTCTGATGTCAGTCATTTTCCAAATATCTAGTATATAGTACATGTAACTTTTTTTTTCTTATATACAATTATGCAACACGAAAAGCTTGTGAGAAAGGTTGGGCTAGTTTTGGAGGGAAATGCTACTACTTTCTCTTGGATGAAATGAACTTTCTAAAGGCAATGGTGAATATATATAGTAGTAGTATAAGGGGCCTAGATGGGGGGTTCAACTGAGTGCACTTTTGGGGCTGTGGGGGATAGGGGGTTCAACTGAGTGCAGCCCCTGGGGGGGATAGGGGGGTCAACGGAGTGCAGCCCCTGGAGGGGATAGGTGGGTCAATAGAGTGCAGCCCCTGGGGGGATAGCCGGTTCAATTCAGTACATATAATCCCCCCCTAAATACGGGGGTGTGTGTTTACACTGTGTTTACATTATACACTATACGCTGCTGCTACTACGATTTTGGCAGCGACTTTTATCCCTGTTGCATCATCTGTAAGAGCCTG